CTACAGCATCTATTCACAGGCGCGATCCCACTGCTCCGTCTCCGACCTGGGCCGGTGCACCCCTCCTTAGACCACCTGGTGGTCCCGGGCTCCCCCAGGAGCACCATATCGATACCGAACTTAGTGCAGACACCCGATCTTCATAGTCCACTGCAGCTCAGAGCTCCTGAGCTCAAACGATCCTCCAGCCTCAGCCTCCCGGTAACTGGGATTACAGGCGCGCGCCACCGCACCCGGCGAGAGAGTTATTAATTCAGAAAGATTTGGTATTTTACAAACATGACGTCATCAGGGTGATCAAGTGGAATCTAGTGATGAAAACAAAAGCTGCAGCTGCAACGTTGAAGGCTGATCAGCATTTGTACAATTGAACTAAAACCTTATTTGAATAAAGATCAATACTTTATCTCATATCTTTAAACATCTGAGTGCTCAGTATGAGTTTATATCATCCACAGTCATGCACAGTTGATGTTTTTCATAATGTCAGCAGATTGCATCACAATAACTTATATTCACAATCTGTGATTCCAATATAAAGAAGTTAGGCTTGTTCTGACTCTTAATAACAAGACAGAATATTGAGCTGAGTAGCTATTTAAACCATAAATTTAGTTATATTTACCTGTGCCTTTGTTAATTATCTAGGTTATTGATACAGATGTATTGAATGCTGATTATTTCATCTGATATTTGATGTTTATGGTTCATTTGCAACCTAGTTGTATACATCATGTGTTTAGTTGTTATCTTTGTGTCATTTAACAACTAAACATACATGGAAGAGTGAGCATGTGTTGATCACGAGGCAATAAATAAAGACAGTTGAAAAATAAAGAGATGTTTTGTTTATTCTTATTAAACTTTATACATAATTTAACTACCTCATTGATTTATTCGTCACACTTAAATCCTGAATTGAATGGTTCAACAGAAGAGGTCAAAGGGTCAAAGATGAGAAGATATAATGTTGGTCAAATGCATGTGGTCCAAATAAAATGACTTCAGTTTTATTGCCATTGGGATACAGAAAGTTTGACTCTAGAACATTTTCAATTTTGTTCCTAATCTCACAAAACAAGAGTAAAACCCAGATGAGTTGTTTCTCTTCTCTTCTTTGCCACCATGTTAACTGTCTTGTGACCCTCAGATTGATCTCTGGAGCTCTAAGGGGACGCACACCGTCAGATGTGTTACTATTTGGAAAACAGTCAACCTTAAGTTATCACTGATGGAGTTCATTTTAGTTATATTATCTTGTGGTAACTAGTTATTATCTTGTGGTAACTAGCTATTATCCTGTGGGGATAATGCTGTCAATATCACTTTACAGGACGTTCGGAGATTTGTAAAGTGCAGTTTATCTCTCGAGGGAAATAGGTGATGCAATTTGTAATTTGTGGCGGAGCAGCTAAGAGACAGTAAAACAAACCATTGACCACAGTTAGCATATCTACGATCATATGCTTCATCTCTGCTTCTGAACATCTGAACAAAAGATGAGCAGACTGGAGTGCATGCATCCTGTCAGATCACCGACACACTTACAGCAAAAGCTGACAGAAACAGACAATAAGACTGAGGAATGGTATGAAATAATATAGTCCTTTATTTCCAGCAATGTACAAAGTCCTGCAGGGACAGAGCCTTCCTCCAGCCTCACAGAGGGAGGGCTTTTACAAAGAGAGCACACAGAGAATGCAAAGACCTCGGCCCCAGTGAGACGGGTACCAGTGTGTTTTGTCGGTTTCTCAGAGACAGCAGAGCTGACCGAGACAGGTGGAGGTTTAGTGTCTGAATCAAAGGCTCCACCTTGACGTGGGCGTTGGAAACCTAAGGATTCAGGGGCTTGAGGGTTTGAAGCACTGAGGCTAACAAGGCAGTAGGTTGAAGGGTTTTTAAAAAGCTGGCTATTTCATATACAGGTGGAAACATCTGGAAACATAAGGAGAAGTGACATTTCGTCATGTTGCCCTTTTTTTGTTGTTGCTGTGTTTGTGGCGTGAACTCTTACTTCTAATTCCTGACCCATAAAACCAGCCTACTGAGCTTATTCAGCCTCAAAGTCCTCATTTTTGCACATTCACTACATGAACACAAAGCTTGCGACTGATGCCACCCGCCCTCCTCTCCGCTGCTGCGTCATATAAAGTCATTATTACATTACAATCATAATCAACTGTACATCTTTTATTAATCAAAGCTAATTAAAGAGACGCTACTCTGTGGCGAACCTAGCTCCTGATTGGGTTACTCTGAGTTGAGCTCGGCTCTCATAGGTTAAGGCCATTCTATGTTTTATAAGTATGCTTTCCCTGTGTGTGACATGGTGTGTGTGTGTGTGCGCAGATGTGCGAGGTGTGTAAAGACTGGTATTAGGCACCGTTCTATTCGTTAGCCTCACCGCCGGTGAGCACCAAGACGCTCTACTGGCCTTTTGCAAAGAAAACAAAAAGAAAACATAAAAGAGAAGAGAAAAATGACAAAAAACAACAAGGTGACAAGGAAACGGAGCCAAAATGAAATGACAAAATAAACAACCTTATATATAGAATAAATATAATATGTACAATTTGCTTTGTGTGCAATCTAAAAATAAATAGACAAAGCATTACTTGCCCCTTTTATAGAAGTATTCACAACTTCCCATGTGACACAAAGGCAGAACGCCGGCACCCGGTCAGTAAGAGAGTGGAGGATACAGACTGAGAGTGAGCGGATGGAAGGATGCAACTTTTACAAGAAGTCTGTAGAAAAAAAAGACAAAATAAAACGTCACTGCGGTTGGACTCGCGCGGGTTTGAATCCAGAGGACACAGAGATGCACTGACAAGTTGTACAGTTAAGAGGATCCCTGCGGCGCCCTCTGGTGTCCGTTGTTTTGCAGATTACAGTACATTGTGCCTTTGACCAGCGCGGACAACTTGCTTCATCTTTACAGTGGTTGTTTGCTCAGTGAAATATTACCAAACAAATCAGAAATCACGAAGAGTTAAAAAGATTAGGGCAGAGGAGGAAAGGAATAGAAAAAAAATCACATAATTGACACATAAACAAAAAGAAAAATCATGAAGACCATAACAACATTTTCAACAGATAAAATAATCAAGTTTTGCACATTCACATTATGTGCCCTGCACATGCATTCTGCTGGCCCCTTCCAAACAGCACAGACGTCCGACAAGTCGAGCATCACGTGCAGGTTTTCTCCTAAGACACTGGGCTTTGCGTCTGGGCTGCGTCTGTACTTGGTACAGTCTGTCGAAAATGGTTCGCGACTTCCCTTTTCATTCTCCTCCTCACCTGTGAGCCCTCAAAGACTCAGCTCGGGGCATCTGAGTCTCACAGTCAGGCGACAGATAGTGTGTTGCTGAGGTTAAACCCATTTTTGCTCAGTTGAGTCATTCACTTACAAAAGGGCAGGCTCCTCCCTCACCAGATAGATTACTATTCGTTATTTTTATCAATTATATGTGTGACATACGGAAGCCCTGAAGTGTGAAAAAAAGTGTTTTTGTCTCCTGTATTTATGACTTAACAACAGGTGAGCATTTTTGCCAGGATACATTTTTGATTTCCTTAATTTTCTTTCTCATCAGAAAAGCAGGTGGGAAAAAAGGTTTTGCCAAGTGTAAGTTTTTAGAGAGAATCCGAAATTGGATCACCAGATTCCAGGGCTTCCATAGTGAGAACAACACGTTTCACCAGAATTATATTCTAACTCACTCTACAGAATCTGAGAAAAATCCTCCAAGCCCAGTCACACCAGAAACTAGCAAAATGAACTCGAGAAAATAGGGAAGATAGCTAACAGGGAAACAAGCTCGCGCTAGTCGGTCACAACAGCTCTCCCTGTTTCTCTCTATTTTCTCTGCACTGTGCCTTTTGCCTTAATATAAGGGGGCTAAAAGTTATCTAAGCTAACGGAACTTGCTAACTGATGGTAAGCTAGTTAGCTTAGAGATGTTTTAATCATGCTTCGACAGTGGAGGGACAGATAAAAGCGGACGGTGCAACACGGCTAATAAGCTATGATAGCTAGCTCTCCTCTCTGTTCCCTCAAGACTGTCGAGACGTTTGGCTAATCGGTCAATTTCACATTAGTTGAACTTCCCGCAAAAGCTTTGCATATATTTACTTCACCCCGCGATTGAAACCACTGATTCCACTGAAGTGAATTCATCTAAATGTATATGCTTTACACGTTGGTGAGACCGGATCTTAATCAGCGCTGCTTTGACAATACAAACAATAAAACACAAACAAAGGGTTTGCCACAACTTCCTGTATCCACTGTCACCTAACTGGTAACCAACCTCAGACAACATCATTGGTCTGTCTTTCGTTGGAAAGGATCAGTGCTCCAGTTTTGATTCCCACAAAGCAATTAAAGTCATCAAATTAAAAGGTCACAAATATCCACACGAAACATCAGCAATCGGGACCTTTCTCCTGGTACCAGATAGATGAACCTGAGTGGGCACATCCTGGCTAAGGCAACCTAACACATTGTACCAATGTGCCAAAACAATGGCGTTGAGTTGGCTGAGCTCTGCAGGTTGTTTCCAGTGCGCCGCAGCATGTTGAGCCTCTTTTCACTTACTATAAGCCTGGCTTGGGCAACATAATGGCAACAACAACAACGTGCTCCAATAGAGAGTGGGCGGATGGCTTCAGACAGGGGGACTGGTGCTATTGTGTGAGTGAGCATGCAATTCTCATTAACAGAAACTTTTAAATAGGCCTTAATTAGGAGGTTCTCAACTGCTGACAGAAGAATAGGTAAATCACTCATAGTCGTGGCTGACGTAAATGTTTGTGGGATTGTGATCTGACGTTCCTAATTCTCCAGTCCAGAATTGGACTCGAGATTTAGACTCGTTAAATCAAATTAAGCCATCCGCTGACCCCCCCCCCCACACACACACACACACACACACACACACACACACAATTCCTAGCCCTTTGCAATCTCTACTAAATCAGAAATGAGACACATATAATATTCATTCTGTTTATGATGTAGCACTTGGTGATTAAGCATTCTAGGCTCATTTGGACATCTTTTTTGCTGTCTTAGTGTTAAAACTTGATCTTTTTATAAAAACGGTAGGGCTAACATTCCCATTGAAAATAATGAGGACTGGCCCTTCGCATGGAACGATTCATATCAAATTCATTATTTATCAACAATAGTAATCATTGTCAATATTGTGATAATAACAAAAGTAGTTGGACTCAGTTATTAAGTAAAATATAGGAGGAGTGGGGGAGTTTTGCAGGGTTTTGTTTACTGGTTGAGGTGCAGATATGTGTGTTTAAAATACTGTCCAGAATCTGTTCTGCTGCTGTGGTGCACCAAAGTCCTGATATCCTGGAGACGAAACGTCACTGCCCCTACAAGTGCTAGACCATCAATCGGAGCCCGACAGGAGATTAGCCCTTATATAGTAGACAACGTCCATTTTCAGATAATGTCCACGCATGCGGGCGATGTTTGTCACTGTCCGTGCGTGCAAGCGCAGAGTGTGTCTTTTTGTTGTTGTGCGTGTCACTGTGTATTCATTCAGTTGCCCGCGTTAGCGTCCTTGTCTCCGATGAACCAGCGCATGTGGAAGCAGAGGGCGAGGAAGCCGGTCCCCAGCAGGTCGCCCAGAGCGGTCAGGTAGGGGATGGAGAAGTTGTCGGGGTCCATGCCTCGCCCCCACATCCAGTGTACCATCCAGTCTGCCAGGTAGAGAAGGATTAGAACCTGGAGACGGACAGAAGCAGAAGCACAAGGTTCTTTTGTTCATCTTTTATTTTACAGGAACCACAGAGACTTCAATGCTTTAAAAAAAGGAACTAAAGGAAGGTAGTACTTGATTGACTGTGTCAGTTTTGGCATCATTTCTATAACCAGAGGACAAGATTTAGCTATCAGAAGGGTTCTGGTTTCCGATTGAAGTCAGAGTAGTATCGACCAATCACATGTGAGCGGGCTTTGGTTGCATGCAGGTAAACGTGTGGAGAGAAAAAAGACGCATTGGCCATAATGCAAACTCCGTCCCGAAATATTGGCCCCAGAGGCTAAATCGATGTCAGACCGAACGCTGGTGTTTATCCGATGTTGAAAATGGGATTAGCTGTCGCATTTTGTAAGTCTCTGAATCCAGTTTGGAGGATCACTAAATGAAGGGGAGAGCCAATTACACAGTCCTTACTGGAAGTCACGGTTTTGTGATCATAAGATTTCATTAGAATTCAACCAATTCCCACAAAACGTGCAGCATTTCTGAGATCTTCCTGCAATATTCAAACTAAACGGAAGCAAAATGGGATTGAAGCCGAATATTTGTTCGAAAAAAACATGTCGTGAATTTTGGAAATGATGACATATCTCTATCTTTTTTTCAATAAATGTTGACTTTTGGACGCTCTGGAGATATTAGAAATGTTAGGATCACAGGAGTCAGGAACAGGAAAGAATGGATCAACCAATCAGCTCTGTGACTTACTTACCCATAACACCCGTCTCTGCAGAGGTACACCAAGTGTTTACTATGCAGTGTATCTCAACTCCAGCTTACCTCTAAAGCTAATGCTATTGCTACTCTAATAATAATAATAACTGTAAATTATAAGATTAATCATAACAATAATTATAAATGAATGTTTGTTGTGTTTGGTGCACCTTATAAAACAGTAAGTGATAATATATGAATGCTGCATGCAGTTTTCTAGATAGTTCAGAGTTAAGAGTGTGCTTGTGTGTACCTGTAGTAGCGCAGCAACCATGTAAAACGCAACAAAGACGGCTGTCAGGGTGGTGTGTCCCCCCCTCAGGGAGTTGATGGTGTAGAGGAAGGCGAGGTGACCCGGGGCGACCAGGAGGAAGAGCACGCGGGCTGAACGGGAGTTCACAGCTGGAAGAGAACGAGGACCTACTTTTATAACCATTCACAGAATACGATGAGGTGCATTCCCACTGACAGGCCGATGTGTAAAAGATCTGTTTTCACAAGATAAAACGACGAGAGAGAGAGAGAGAGAGAGAGAGAGAGAGAGAGAGAGAGAGAGAG